TTTTTTCTTACAGAAATGGCTGCTAGAAAACGTTCAGTGATTATCTTGATTATTTAATTAAATTATTGAATTATTAATTCGATTTATTGAATCTGGTGCAAAAACTGTGAAGTTGGACTTTGCCTTGAACCCTGTTTTGAACTCTATCATACTAAACTGCATTTCTAATGTATTCCCCCTCAGCGCTTTATATTTTCTTAAATTTTATACATTTTACTTTTTTATATTATGCAATAAATATAAATTAACTGTAATTCGACTGAAATTTATTTTAAGAAAGTTTTTTTTTTATGATAACATCTGAAATTGGTTTTTCTCATGATAAAATCTATATAGAAAAATATTTTCTAGAAAGGAAAAATGCATTTTTCAATTCTCCAATATATATAGATTTAAAATATGCAAAAAAAAAATTACACAATTTTTGAAGCGATTTCGGTCCACAAATTAGGCATTCAGAGGGTTAATCTTCTAATTGGATCTGGCTTATTATTTTTTGCAGACTGTTAGAGCAGTTTTATAAAAATTAAGCTTGAACTTTCGATTATGTCAAAAAGAGTTTCCAATTCTGGAGCTGCCAAAGGATCTACAAAGTGAAAGCATGTTTTGATGTACCGCTTCCGATAGTGAAAAAAGTGACAGGTTATTGAAAACGAAAAAATTTCGATTGACAAGTTAGTCGGTATTCTCAACACAGCAATTACAGTACTTGAACAGTGGAACTTTGTAACTGAACAAGAAATTATGTCTGTTTATTGAATTAAAGAGAAAGTATTAGCACAAAAAAGAAGCAACTTAAACAACTTACATTGAAAGAAATGTTTAATAAAGTAAACAAATATTACAGAGAAAGCATTAGCACAAAAAAGAAGCAACTTAACCCTTTCGGCCCCACCGGGACATATATGTCCCGCAAATGTTTCCAAATCACCCAATGGGAAAAACAAGCGTAAAATTTATTGCCGCGAGTGTCCCACTGGTTTCCTGTGATTACATCTACCTTTTAGTGTAATTTTTCTCGATAGATGACACTAGTGCCCTGTGAGCTCTTTGTTTTATTGTAACAGTTTTGACAAGCGGAAAGTTTGGACATTCTGGCAGCCATTTTAGGCGAAGATACATGAGTGGACACACGTGCTGTTTTCGTTGTATGTGATTTTCGTCTATTTTTGCCATATCAAGCAGTTTATTTGAAGTAAGTGAATTTTCATTGTAGATTTTGAAAAAAAATAATATTATGGGACATATATGTCCCAATGGTCTGTTTTATTGGGACATTATTGTCCCAGTGGTTATTGAAATATATCTATGCCTCATTCTCAAAGTGGTCATTTCTGTATTTTTAGGCATAGCAATATCATGAATCGCAGGAAGGGATTGACAAAGGAAGAAATAATTAAATTATTGAATGAACCGGATTCAAGTGATGAATTGGACGATTCAGATATACACAAGGAATATGTCCCTAGTTCCTCAGACAGTGATAGCTGTGAAGAATTGAGAGAAAATTCAGGAACATCAAGGGCACCGAAACGAAAGCTGTCATGTCTTGAGCATTCATCAGAACCCTCCGTTGACTCGGACTCTGATGATTTCTCACCCGATGAAGCGGAGCAGGTATCAAAATATAAGTGCAAGGCAAAAAATAAACATAAAAAAAAACTATTTCAAAACCTACTGATCCTGTCATTTGGTCAAATGTTGGTCCAAATTTTGAGCCACGGCTCCATGTATCTAAAGACCGTCCAACTGCAATACTGGCCAAAATCAACAGATCCTCTAATGAATTAGAATGTTTCTCATGTGTATTTCCACGAAGTCTTCTTATTTTTATTTCTCAATGTACCAACCAGCGCCTTGAAATACTGAGACATGAAAAAAAAGTAGATATTCCTGACACAGACCCTTCAGAAATTATGCTTGTGTTGGGAGTTATGCTTGTCATGTCGTATAATCAAGTACCGAACTTTTCAGATTATTGGTCCAGCAATTCTTCATTGGGAAACGAAGCTATCAAAAATGCGATTTCCCGTAACAGATGCCTATTGCTCTTTGCAAAAATGTACTTCAATGATCCAGAAAAAGATGCGAATGCTCCAAAGACATATTATATGGATGAAGTGGTGGCATGTTTCAAAAGGACATTTATGCAAGCTCGCGAAGATAGTCCCTTTCAAAGCATCGATGAATCCATGGCTAAATTCAAAGGTCGTTCTAGCCTAAAGCAGTATTTACCCCTAAAGCCAATAAAACGGGGAATCAAAGTGTGGGAGAGATGTGATGCTGCTACGGGCTACACCTATGACTTCAATATATATTCTGGCAAAGACATGGATAATACAGATCATGAGGGTACAATACTTGGAGAAAGAGTTGTTCTAAAACTTTCCTCAACAATACGTAACCCAGATGTTACACTTACATTTGATAGATTTTTTACAAGTGTAAACTTATTGGATAACATATCCTTTCCTTCTGTTGGTACTTGTATTTCTCGTAGAAAAGACATGCCAAAATTCTCTGACGAAAAACTTCAAAAAGGTGATTCAGAATTTCTCCAGAATAGAAGAGGAACTCTTGCAGCAAGATGGCAAGATTCAAAGGAAGTTCTGATTCTGAGTAATTGCCACGGACCTGATGTCATACAAGTAAAACGCAAGCAGAAAGATGGAGAAAAAGTAATGACAAATTGTCCTACCGCTATTGCCGACTATAACAGATTTATGGGAGGAGTAGATTTGTCTGATCAAAAGATATGCCTATATGATTTTGACAGAAGATCTACAAAATGGTGGAAAAAGTATTTTATAAACTTTTGATGACAGCTGTTGTGAATGCACACATATTGTTTCAAGAAACCAAACATAGGAAAATACCTCTCTTGCAATACATTGTCCCCCTAGCCGAATTAATGATTGCTCATGGCAAAGAAAATGCAATTGTCAAGAGGAAGAAATCAGGTCGACCGTCAAATGCAACAAAACTGATGTTGAATGTTGGAGATCATTTGCCATTAGAAGGGCCAACAAGAAGAAGATGTGCCCGCTGTGCCAAACAAAATAAAGAAACCCGAACAAAAACTGTTTGCGCCATGTGTAAAATTGCACTATGTAAAAACTGTTTTGCAATGTACCATACATAGAAATTTCATAAATAATGTTGTGTAGGTAGGTGTTTTCTGATAAAACTGTTTAAAAAATATTGTGAAATTCATTTAGAACTAGAAAACTGAACTTTTCACTATGTTTTATATTGTCACTTCAACCCCAATGGGACACATGTGTCCCAACTAAAAAGACCAGTGGGACACATATGTCCCACCTCCAAAATGGCCCTTACAGTAAATTTTTGCTTATAATTGGGCAGAATATTGCTATTTCTACTTTATTTTACCTAATAAACCCCTAATTTATCTTTTTTTTAAAAAGAAAAAACTGGTTGTGAAAGGGTTAAACAACTTACAACATTGAAAGAAATGTTTAATAAAATAAACAAATAAATATTAAGCTTTTTTTTCGTAAATTTTGATATCCTTTAGACCATAATTGCTCTTTATTTCATAAATTATGGTTTCATATTTTAATTGTATAATTTCTGCATGCCATCTTACCAGATTTAAATTGATGATCTATAATCCGGAAAATCTCCTAATCCGGAATCGTCGAAGTTCCGACGAGTCCGGATTACAGACTTTGTACTGTATTACAACTGGTCTATTTGTGCTATTACAATTTTTCATACAAAGGAAATAGAAATCCTCATAAAACTTCAATATGGTTATGCCTGCTGTCACTGATCTTGAAAATATAGGCTAATCTTTGGAATATGGTAACAGGTAGTTTGGCGACATTTTGGCAAGGCGGTAAAGGTTACTAGCTAGGACTTTAGCAGCGTACAAGGATAAAGTCAAGAGCGTGCGCAATGCCATTTTTGTGCAATTCTGGGATGATTTTTTAAGTGAAAATAGGTCGCCGTGTACATGGATACCGTGTATGTGCAATTCTTAAAAACGCGGCAAGCAGTTTGCGATTCTGCACTTTATCCCAATTTCGCACCTAATCTTCGTCATGATTAAGCACTTTTGTTCCATAAAAGTTCTAGCATAAGCGTAATTCGGCTAGCAGATTGTTGGAAAAAAATATTGAGTAAAAAAAACCATGTCTTTACTTCGTGAAAACAAAATGGCATCCAAACAAAAACTAGCAGGTTGTTGTAGCAGGATTGGTTGCCAAATTTTCGCCAAAAAATCGCCGTTACCATAATCCAAAGATTAACCAAAATATACTATCTATACAAAATACCAGCTGATTTTAAAAAACAATGTTAAAATTTTGTGTTGAAATTTTCACTTTCATGAAGTCATAATATCGATAAAATGATCTTAAGGATCACTTGTATATTTAAATTTATGTATATATATAAACAATCTGCCTTGAATAAATAATGAGTATCAGATAAAAATGAGGGGAAAGAAGAGTACTGGTCCATTGTTTTTATTACACCTTTACAAACAGAAATATTAGAATTTTTTTAACTGATCTTCAGACTTGATTACAATCAACAAGTGCAGTGAATGAGTGTTTCATTATTTAAGTAACAAGCTTAAAAAATCAATAAAGATAATATAATAATCTTACAATTTTCAAACATCTTTACAAAAACAACTAATTAATGGGAAACAAATAACAAGGGACAGCATACACACTTTGTAATATATACTGATCGCAAAATTATGCAGCAACTTGATAATAATGATTCACAGTTAACAATAATAACATTGAACCTCCTACAATACAGTAAAATATATCATATGAATTTTACAGTGTTTATATATCTGGAATGAAGACAAAATCCACACGTCTTAAATGTTACTCTTTAATTGTATTATTTATTCTTAAAGCATATGACCCCCTCCCAAAATAATAATAATAATAATTTTAAAAAATAAAATTCATGTCATCTATGTTGAAAAATCAGAAATTATTTAAACATTACAGAACACACCTTTCATACATATATTTCTGATCAGAAATTGAAAAACAAAAATTTAAAACTGAAATATTATTTATTCTTAAAGCAAAAGACCCACTCCCAAATAAATAAATAATTTTTTAAAAGTTGTTCAAATAAATTCACATCTATACAGAAGAATCAGAATTTACTCAAATATTATGGGTCCCAAATAAATAAATAATTTTTTAAAAGTTCAAATTCACATCTATACAGAAGAATCAGAATTTACTCAAATATTATGGGACACTGAATATTTCTCTGTCTATATATATTTAAACATTACATCAAATACATAATTAATGAAACAATCTTAATATAACCAATCAAAATACTGTAATATAGTATAATGACATTTAAAACATCTTTTGGCAAATTTTACAAAAAATCAAAATTGATTAGCATAAAATCGAAGGCCTTCTACAGAATCATCCCTACATGCAAGGCCTTGTTTCTCAAGAAATAACAGTCGTTCTTTTGCAATCACAACTGTAGCTTTTGTGAGAATAGACAGCTCTGCAGCAGTCAAGGATTCATTATCCTGAAGAATTTGCATAACTTCACGAGCCTCAGCCATGGGATCTTCTGCCACTAGACGAAGAGCCATAACTCCACTGTCGAATTTATGGAGTTTCACAGCCAAATTTAATTTTTCTAGCATTAAGCAAGAATTGAGCAAATCTTCAGGAGAGATCAACTCAACTCCTCTTGCTCTGTTCACACGGCAATAAACTTCTGCTAAAGTCAATGTACCTCCAGCTTCATTTAATGGTTTCATAAGTAAATCACATAACTGTTTAGCTAACTCAGTATGGAATGCACTACCAGAACCATATTCATCTTTAGTAACAGGATCACTAATACCAAGGCTCAGCAGATAAGATTTAAATTGAATAGTTTCATCTTCTGTTATGTCCATTTGTTTTTCTCTTAATTTTTGCGATATGGTTTTTGAAAGGTTAACCATTTCTTTTGCCATTTTCATCAAACCTTTCAAATCTTCAAATGCTTCAGAAATTGTTTCTCCAGTTGCTTCATTGCGGTCTTTTATCTGTCTCTCTATTCCAACTATACCAGCACGATACTGTTTTCCCTTTGGATAAGCCACAGCAGGATCTTCCCAAGCCCTTTTTGTTAATGCCTCAGAGAAAGCATTGAAGAACTCTTTATCACCACCTCCCCTAAATGAAAATTTAACATAATTATAGGGACTGTATTTGACTGGACCAGGTTTTTTATCTTCTTCTAGTATAGCACCGAGATGAGCAATAATTTTTGCACTCTTAGTCCAAGTGGCATTCTCTTTCTCAATTAACACGATGTGAGACAAATTTAAACTCATATCAGTATTTGGATTTATATCATCCTTCCATCGGATTCTTTGACTAGTTAGTGTCAAAGTCCCTGATTCAAACAATGTTTTTTTATTGCCATCATATAACTTTACAGAAGGTTGCTGTAAAATTTCTGTTTCACCAGGCTGAAAGTTGTTCTCCCACCACTGGAAACGATCCATTGCTTTTACAAAAATTCTCCGTAAGATAAAAGTAATATGTTTTTTTCTTAATACTTAAAAAATCTGAAGCAAGATTCTATCTACAAATTTTTAATAAATGTCTTACCCCGTGGTGAGTATGGAGGAGGCTTTTCATAATCATTCATCTTCTCAGTTTTTAGAATAGAGATACTGAAATATAAAGAAAACTCAGCATTATACATCTAATGTAATTATATAGCCTACAAACAATTTACCACTGAAATACATTTAATGATTTTAAAATATATTTGTCAATGACATATATATATATTGAATATAATAGTCTCTTGCATAAGAAAATCCTGCATATTTTAAGATACTCTATAAGAAGAATAATTATATAATCTAAATATTATAGCTTCAAGCAAAAGAAACTAAATACAGTACAAAGTCTCTAATCTGGACCTCAAAGCCACAAACTTGCACATGCGCGCTTGATCCGCGCGTCCACTACGCATGCGCGTAAAGCCAGTAAAAGTGTTTACCCATGCGCGCTTCCAATAGTGAAGACAGTAACAGAGAAACAGAGAACGTTATTTAAAACGAAAAAATTTCGATTGACAAATTAGTCAGTATTTTTGACACAGCAATTACAATACTTGAACAGTGGAACTTTGTAATGGAACAAGAAATTATGTCTGTTTATAGAATTAAAGAGAAAGACACATCGAAGGTACAAACATCGAAGGTACAACTCTGACATACACCTTGATTTCACCAAATGTGGCGATATGTGTTCTGTGCTGGTTTTTGCACGATTGCCTGTTGTAGGGCAACCCTGTTGACGTTGAAAAATCTTTTGCTGGAGCTTGTTGGTTCGCGTCTGTGTCTCGGAAGGTAAAATGGTGCAAGTTGTTGAATTGAAGTTCGGCAAAAGGAAATATTGTGGCCATCCTGTTGAGGGGCAGTGAGTATTTGGAGGTGTGGAAAGAGGGTCTGGGAGATTATTTTTAGTAGCTGTGCACGATAGAAATAGGGATTTGTGATTTTATTTATTTGTGAACCATAGTATCAATTTTCTGGATAGTGTGTCTGCCTGTATATAAATACAATAGTGATTACGTGGCGGCATGTTAAAGGCGGTATGAAATTAGTATTTCTGCTGTTTGAAAAAGCATTAATTCATGGTAAGTGCATTTTTAGTATGAATTTCTGTCATTGTTGTTTTTTTAATTGTTTGAAATTTATTTTAGTTTATTTTTTTGATTGTGCAATTCGTAGATATTTTTTCAAGTTGAAACAGAACGCTGTGTACATGGTATTCTTCGAAATTTATTGTTATGTTAATTTATTAAAGCAAGGTGTGCGTAGTTCATAGATTCGTTCGTTGCCTAAATTGTGCAATTCGTAGATTTTTTTTAAGTTTAAACAGGATGCTGTGTACATGGTATTCTTTGAAATTTATTGTTGTTATGTTAATTTATTAAAGTGAGGTGTGTGTAGTTCGTAGATTCGTTCGTTGCCTAGATTGTGCCATTCGTAGATTTTTTTTTTTAAGTTAAAACATATCGCTGTGTACATGGATTCTTGTGAAATATTTTTGGTTAGAAACTTTATGTTTTTGCTAGAATTTTTTGTTTTTGTTTCGGATTTCTAGCTTAAATTGTGTGTTCAAAACGCAGTTTTTGCATGTGCGAAAACCGCATTTTTGGGGACATTTTAGGCTTAAAGTTCGAAATGCAGACAAATAATTTAAATAGTAATATGGCAGTGTGGAGTTTCTCGCCAAAAATGTTTGGCGACTTGAGGGCGCATATCAGAGTAGTTCCAAAACGAAGCAACTTAAACAACTTACATTAAAAGAAATGTTTAATAAAGTAAACAAATAAATATTAAACTTTTTTTGTAAATTTTGATAACCTTTAGATAATAATTGCTCTTTATTTCATAAATTACGGTTTCATATTTTTAATTGTATAATTTCTGCATGTCATCTTTCCAGATTTAAATTGATGATCTGTAATCCAGAATCGCCGAAGTCCCGACGAGTCCGGATTACGGACTTTGTACTGTATCTATAATTAGGGGGAACCATTAGTTTGACATAAATTTTGAATTAAACTGTATTGATTTCAAGGGTGATGCAATACAAGTCCAGAAGTAAAAATTTTCAAACACTTTCCAATTAAAGTTATACTGTTTGGAGTTCTCCTGTTTTGCTCTATCTTCTAAGCTACCAATTTAGTTTGGTTTCTTTCCTGCAAATAATCACTTTTATAACCACCTTTTACATCTAAACAGTTTTTCTTTTGCCTCAATAAATTGCATAACTTAAATTTTGCCAAGATATCAAAAAAATGAGCATCCAGTTCCTTCAAGAAAGAAATATTTTTCATAATTAATGATCATATTCGACTAACCACGTTAGGAAGTTGAAATGGAAAATGGCATATAGCCTTCATTCCAGGTGGGAATAAAAAGGTGTCCAAACACAAACATGGTTTGTAGGCTAATGCATTTCTTTTATTACTGTCAATTTATTTACTTATGATTTCATGACAAGAAATCATTATTTTAAAATTTAATATGACAATTACAATAAGATTTTATTGTAACAAATTTTAATAAAATCTAAAATTTAATAATAAAAAGTATAAATACTTTTATGTAATAAAAACGAGTTTTTAATTATCCCTAAACGGAGAAAAATGTTTTTAAATGATTTGTCAGCTGATAAAATGAGGATGGATTCTATCTTAGTAATCTTTATTATTAAAATGTCATTATCATCAGATGATTCACTTGCATGATAAAATGCATTAATCACCTTTAGACATTTTTTTTACTTAATCAGAAATATTAAATTTATATTAATGATGATGCATTTAGAAATATTTCCTTCAATGAACATGCTATAGCCTAAAAAACAAATATTACAGTTTAGATGTTTCAATGATTAAAAAAAAAAAAAAAAAAAAAGCTTTCTCCCAAATGCTACTTTTTAATATAAATTGTTAGAGAAGAAGAATGAAACTTATCATTAGGGTTTACTAAAAGTTTGACATAAAGGTGAATAAATACAAATTTTCTAGTAGCAGTGATCAAATACAAAATATTGCTTTTTAATTGTTTTGAATAAAAATTGATCAAACACACATATTTAAGGAATCTCATCTCTTGAGCTTCAAATTAGTGGATATTTTTGGAATAAGACAAAAGGTAGTTTAATAAAGCAGAAGTTGATAAGCACAAAGCAATGTTGATCACAGCAGCAGACAACAGTTTAAATATGTTTAAGCATGGTATCAAATGCAACAAACGAATTCTGTACAGATATTTCCAGGCTTTTTTGCCCATCTGGAACAGTCAGCACTCTTACAACAGGCTTAAAGCCAAATGTATTATTGGTAAACTTCTCTAAAATGTTAATGGTTGATCTTTACATTATGGTAACTTGGCGATTTTTTGGCGAAAATTTGGCGACCAACTCTCCTACAGCAACCCTCTATTTTTTTTTTTTTTTTTCCCCGCCGCCATTTTGTCTTCACGAAGTAAAGACATGTTTCTTTTCTTTTTATCTACTGAACACTTCTTCCAACAATCTACTAGCCGAATTACACTTATGCTAGAAATTTTATCTAACAAAACTGCTTAATCATGACAAATATTCATTGCAAAATTGGGAAAAAGTGCACAATACCATACTCCTTACGCGTTTTTCAAAATAACACATACACATAAACCATGTACACGTCGACTTATTTTTACTTAAAAAAACATCCCAGAATTACACAAAAATGGCACTGCGCACACTCTTCACTATATCCATGTACAATGCTTTCTTCTCATAAATTAGAAAAATTTCACGAAAATACATGACAATTTTCTGAATCTTTAAACCCGGTAAAAAGAACATATAATGAAATTACCTGATCGCGAAAAAGTATATACCCTTTCCAAATATGAACATTTCCACATATAAAATAAATAAAATATCCAAAAACTTTTACCTCTAAATCATCTATTATATTATAAACGTCACCAATGAATTCATACCTCAAACATTACAAATACTTAGTGTCAAATATTTAAATTATTTCTATGCATGTTTACTTCAACTAAAACTTATACCAAATTCCTACAAAACATAAAATTCACAAAATAACTATCATTTAATTAAAATATAATTAAATTCAAAAACACTACTTAAAATATAAATAAGCACATACATTAAATTAATAAAAATTAGCTTACAATCCTAATTACTTTAAACTAAATCATTGCTAATAACAATTTTTCAATAATACTAAATTACTTTACTTCCACCTTAGATTTAGAACAATGCATAAAAATAATATCCTCAAATAATTAAAAATACTAACTTACCTAATCTTCTTCAGAATCTTGATTACGTGTCCGATAAACTTTTCTTCTGTATGTTTCAGGATCTTTAAAATCATACTTATATTTCACAGCAAGGTACCAAGTAAAATAAATAACTTAATAAAACATCTTTATTTCTATCTCGCACAACCTTAAAGAAACATTTATTACTACCCTTTTCAATACCACTAAATACCCATTTTGAATTCACTTTAATTACGGCCATGGGATCCAAAAATTCACGAACACTGTTTCACACAACACAGAATAAAGCTAAATACAAAATTTCCAGATTTTTTCCCGATTTCCCCCCTTTTCCGATTAAAGAACCGTAATTCGTCCATTAATATCACATAACATATCCCATGATCTCTCATTTCCCTCACACAAAATAATGCGTAATCGGAACTGAGTACTGCTCACATTATTACCAAAGTCCCAGGTAGTAACCTTTATCGCCTCCAAAATGTCGCCAAACTACCAGTTACCATATTGTAAAGATCAACCAAAATCTGTTATAATAAAACCTGAGTGTAATTATATTATATTAAATTTTAATGATTTCTTGTCATGAAAGTGTTTATTAAAATAAATTTTTTCATTCACACACTTTTTTCTGGCAACACGATGCTGCTTGTGTTTATTTCTTTTGTCAAATTGACAAACATATAAAAATATTCTGTGAATACATACATACTTACATACACACATGCATATATTCATATATTTCTGAATTCACTCCCGATAACAGAACAATACCATAACTTCTGTGACTCACATTATACTCAGATATGATACATATTCTTAAAGAACCAACTTTGTCACAAAACCTTACAGCCTGATTAATATCGCTGAAATCCTGTAATGCAAAAAAAAGTATTTTATATCTATAATATAGTTATGGACAGAAGACAAAGAATCGAAGAGAATAATGAAACTACAGACTTTAATATTTTTTCCCTACAATTGCAATAGTCTGTTTGATTATCCATAAGTTTGAAAAGCATTCATTTTTATTTACTTATTTTTGCATATAAATGTAAAGTTTTCATTTTTATGAAAATTACATTTCCCTGCTTATCATTGATTCAAAGTTGAATTTTCAATTAAAGAGCATTACCAATTACTATTGGTAACTTATGCTTATATATGCCTTGCTTTTAATGCTGCCCAGAATTCGTACAGGTGATATTACCAATGAATACCAATAGTCCTTTCAGATTCAGCTCCCATTAAACATATCATAACTCTACATTTAACAGGCATAAAGCCAATTTCCTTTATGAAATACTCTAACAGAACACATAACTGTCGAGTACTCTGCAGTAATAATGCACTCCAGGGTTTACATCAGGATAGAATACTTATAATAGCTTAACACTGTAAAAAGTGACAATCTGAGAAGTATACCTATTGCATGAAATTTTAAACTTTACAAGAAAATCTATAGCACATATACCCCTGTACACCCTTACCAACAGCAATATGAAATATTCTTATCTAAACAAAAGAGAACAGTCGAAATTGTACACAGAAAGATAATACACAGTATACATGCGGTAAATCGAAATACAGAATTCGAAATCAATATTAATATTTCTTGGCTCTTCGATTATTCGAATTTTTTTCCTCTAGTCTCTTCAGTTTCTGCTTAACAGAGTTCAACTGTATTCTTACACAGACACTTCATAAAATATTATAAGGCTATTAATAAAGAGAAGAATTTTTTTAAAAAAAGTTACGACCTGCATTTGGACGGAATAAAATTTAATATCCAGAAAATATAAACTCCACTAATGTAATATTACAATTTCATATTGGCTATGCGCTTCGTAATAGCATAAAGAATTTTGAGACTTGGTAACAATTCGTTACTTACTTTGAAGATTTCAGTCACAAAGTCCCAATAAACACACGGCTGTAGTTCAAGTTATCATCTGACACTTCAAAATACATATCACACACTGCTTATTTACTTAACAATATGGTATTGCGGAAATCCATCACGTGAGCTATCACACATACGAAAATAAGAAATAAGAAACCGCCGCATAAAATTTGATTACATACTTAGACTGCCGCCAAGGTAACTTATTTTTTCTACATTCTGGCCTCATAAGTTACAAATGACATACAAATAATGTTAACGATAAGTTAATTCGTGAAATTGCGTTATCTGGAATGTAAATTATTTCAATGTAAATTATTGAAATTATTTCAATACCAGTTAGGCATTCGCCACAGGAAGGACTTTTAGAATGGTTTGAAAAAAAGATTTAGTTAACGCATTTCATTATTCTTTTATTTAAAGGGACTTAAATAATAGATAGAAGAAAAATTAATGCATTACACTGAGTAGTGTACTGAAAATCACAGTAAAGCGCCAGCAGCTCACTATAATGTACCGCTACTCTACTCACTAGTCTGAAGATCAAATCGTTACTCTACTACTCCTTTAACTAACTCAAGCACACTTAAAGAGTTTTCAAAGCGCCAGACTCCTGATCAGAGGTTTTTAGCTTCCTTTTTTCCTGCTCCCTTTTGATGAGAAACAAATGTTCAGGAACTGGAATGAAGCAAAGCCGCACTTTTTTAAGCCCCTTTTTTTTATTTAGATTAGGCTAGTAATTTCAACACCTCTCTCAACATACTATATATTTACAAGAGCTCATTAGTTCCTTCTTGATTAGGTGATAGATCACATAAACTTCTCCAATATTTGACAAATCGTTCATTGCATGTTTGGACACATTCACGGTTAGGTTTCTTCATGCTTCTCTTTCAGCTTCTCTGTCTTACTTGGGCACATAATTATATTTATTTTTATTTAGTCTGGGCCATATAATATTTTTAATCCACTCTTTTAACCGGTTTTAGCAATTTCGTATTAAAACACTACATTTTTCCCTCTAACAAAATTTCTCTTTTTCTATTTGCTATTCCCTTTTCACCCAAGGTTGATTTTTCGCCCTGCAGGCAGAAAAACTTAGTGCACTTTAGCAAGTGCAAAACAGTAGTTGAACTGCGGTGCTTAACCACCAGGGTGCCTGGGCGCCATAGCCCTACCCCTCATCGAATAACATGATAAAAGTTTCGAATTATGAGAAATATAACTGAATGTGCTAAATAATTAAATGAGCAAGAGTTTAAATTCATAATTGCTAATAGTTAAATACAAATTTTTTTCCTTAAGTACCTAATTACTAATCCATACATAATTAACTATTTTTTAACAACTATTTCACAGAAGAATACATGTACACACAAGAGAAACAAAAAATACGAAGTGCGACGCCTTAGTGCCACTAGTAAAAACAAAAAGCAATCAGGAGGAAAAAAGAACAATATACAATAAAGAATCTGAGCAACAATTTGCATAACACATATACAAAATTACACATTACTAACATTTAGGATCGCCCTTGGGCGTTTACTGAAATTGGGGGTCCCTAGTATCATAACAATAGTTAACAACCACAGGATTGTCCAGAAGTTCCTGTTTATCATAAAATGCCCTAGATAGGCGGCAATAAAAATCACAAAGATCCTCTATTCTTAACTCTTTACGAATTTGGCTATTCCGAATGTACCAGGGGGCATTACATATCATACGCAATACCCCGTTTTGGGCAGCTTGTAACTGCCTTCTCAAACTTTTGCACGAGTATGCCCAGACGGGGCATGCATAACTAAGAATTGGACGCAACATGGTTTTGTAAATGAGCAACTTATTATCAATAGATAGAACACTGTTTCGAGCAATTAAGGGGAAGAGTGAAGCTTTACTAGCTCGAAACTTCCTGAGAATATGTGTAACGTGTGGGTTCCATGTAAGAGATTTACTGAGGATCACCCCAAGATAAGGGACCTGCTTGACCCAGGGAATGTCCACACCATACATTTGCAGGTGAGTCGGGAAATTCTTCTTAGTAGTAAACAGTATGGCATGTGTGTCTTGTCGACATTCACTTTGACTTTCCATTTGGTCAGCCAAGTCTCTAGCGAGTGGATGTGGTGTTGTAGCTGTTGTATTGCTGAACTAACAAATGCACTTTGCGTTAGGATCGCTGTGTCGTCTGCATACATGGCTAGTGTTGTGTTGTGTGTGTAGTGGGGATGTCGTTCACGTAAATATTGAATAGGGTAGGGCCCAGAAGGGATCCCTGTGGAACACCAGCCCGTATAGGCCGGTTTGTGGATAATGAACCAGAAACATGAACGACAAAGTGTCTACCGGTTAGGTAGGATTTAATTATGTTTGTGATGTAGCCTGGGAGTCCCAGGTTGTGTAATTTGTATATGAGGGCATCCAGCCATACTCTATCGAAGGCTTTGGCGACATCTAAGAAAAGTCCACCAGTGACACGATGTTGTTGCATCCCACTGCTTATTAATTCAACAACTCTGTAGAGTTGATGCGTTGTCGAGTGCTTACGCCTGAACCCAAACTGATAGGGTATGAGGATCTTCTGCTCATCCAGGAAGATGTTTAGTCTATGTAGAATAACTGCTTCCACGATTTTGCTAATTGAGCTTAGCAAACTGATTGGTCGGTAACTCTCAGGAGCAGTCGCAGGCTTGTTGGGCTTTAGCAGAGGGACAATCTTGGCAGTTTTCCAACAAGTTGGGAAGTATTGCCATCGTAGTATGATATTCACTAACTTTGGTGAAGTAGAGTATTATCTTGACAGGGAAGTGCTTGATCATCTCATTTGTGACCCCGTCTACTCCAGGGCTCTTCCTTTTCGCAATTCGCATGATATAGAGACAGACCTCCGATGGCATGGCTGAGATAATGTTGTCTGTGCATGGCTGTGTTGGTAAAATTGGAGTGGAAGTCAGCAATAAGCTGTTCAGTGTCTGAGTCTGAAATGTTGTTAATGCAGAACTGAGATTCCAGATGCTGAGCTAAAAGTTCTGCTTTCTCAGTTCCGGTGTAATGGATCCGTTGAGGGCCGTGAAGGGGCGGCGGAATGGCGTTATAGCATTTTTTTGTACCTCTTCACTGCTTTCCATAAGGAGTTATCCTCTGCAGAAAGAGATCTGAGGTAGTTAGTCCAGCGATCTTGTGAGAGTTTATTTGTAAGAAACTTGACCGCTTCGCACAGGCGATTGAAGTTCCTTTTATCATCACGGTGTCTGGTACGTTGATACGCTCGTCTTGCAGCATTTCTCTCTTTAATCAATAATCTGAGCTCTTGAGGCTTGTGTTTCATACCAGGTTTAACTTCAACTTGTGCTTTCGCATAAGCATTTTGTATATTTTCAGTGAGGTCCTTGACCAAACTATCAATGTCACTCCCCTTGTGTATCGTGGGTAAAGTGTACTGGGTGTTGGAGAGGGCTTTGGCAAAGACCTGCCAGTCTGTACGAAAGGCCCTGGTGTCTGATGTAGTATATCTGCTGAGGTCCAGAATAATCCTAACAGGATTGTGATCACTTGAAAGTTCGTCCAGTACGGTAAATATCCAGTGGAGAACTGGTGTTCCGCAACAGGAAAAAATCAATAATTGCGGTGGACCCAGCAGCATACCGTGTTGGGGTACTTGGAACTGCCAATTTAAACCGTGCCGACGCGGCCAAGGAATAAATCAGTCTGCCTGTTGCATTAGAAGTGTAGCAGTTCCATGCGCGGTGTCTTGCGTTCAAGTCTCCACCAATAATAACATGTGTACCAAGTGTGAGTAGAATTTCAAGGTCTGCCTGAACGACAGCCACAGGTCTCATGGGAGGAATGTAGGTGGAGACAAAAGTGTATGGAGTGTTAGTGTCTGTTGTGATGCAGATAGCTGTGGCCTCTACGGCTGAGAGCTGTGGAATGTTCACGTGATAATGGGGAATGCAGCGTTTGACAAGAAGTGCAGTGCCACCTCCACGTGGGCGAGGAGCGGTAGTACTTCTGTGCGACTTGTAGGTATAGTAATTTGCCACACACAATGGTATTTTAGGGTCAAGCTTGTGTTCTTGTAGGAAAAATAAGTCGGGACTGTGCTCACTTGCAAAATCCCGCAATTCATTAATCTTACGGAACAAACCATTTGCGTTCCAAGTAATAATACTTAAGTACCTATTGTTTACACTATACATAATTATTCAACATTGGAAAAAACACTGTCAAAAACATTAAATAATATAAACAACTTATCGATTGAATGCTCCGCAGCCCGCAATTCAGGCATGGCTGCCGAGATTTTTTGAAAAACATTCATAACTGTGGTGCCTTTAAAAACATCACACACCTCTTTGATTATTTTGAGAAAGTCCATAAACATACCCGAACCAACAGTAGCACTAGCAGCACCACCACTGCTGACAGTCTGTTTATGCATATCAACATTAAAATTATTAACAGTATTTACAGATCTTTGAACGTCACCCTTGGCTACACTAGCATAACTGCGCCCGGAGGCAACAGCAGAATAACTCAAATTTGCATTAGAAGTACTAGGCATTTTAACACCATTATTTACATTTTCTGAGTTTGCACTCTTATTCACAGTTTTATTTCCGACTATGCGTCGGGGGAATTTCGGACATCCGCGATAATTGGCGGTGTGTCCTTCTTGCAGGCAATTACAACAAATAGGAGAGTCTAATTTTTTTAACATTACATTTATCAGTACGATGTGCACCCGCACATTTCACACATCTTGGTTGTAGTTTGCAATTTTCACTACTGTGGTGGAAGTGTTGGCAGTTGTGACACTGCACAACATTTCCACGCACTTTATAAGGATGTATTTCAACAAAGAAACATAGCAGTT